AATCCAAAAAAAAAAAAAAGAAAAAAAAATGTGTCATTATCTAAAAAAAAAATTTTCGGGTCAATCGAATGAATCGCGTTAATTGGAAACGAAAACGTAACAAAAAAAGAAAAAAAAAGCAACAGAACGGTAATTCGAGGGCCACGTCACGTGCTCTCGAGTTCACCTGTGGAGGGGAGGAGGAGGGAGGAAACCACGTTCCCCCTCGATTTTCAACACGCGTCCCGGAAACAACACCGACGACGCGGACCGCAATTCGTAATAAACCTATAAACATGCTTCGTATTCCTGTTACCGTTTGTTTGCGGGGGAGGAGGGGAGAGGAGGGGGAGGGAGGCTGAACGTTATGCAATTCATTGTCCGTTAAATCGGCTCGCTCGGTTTAATGACGTGGACGGCATGGGAAACCGATGTAACTCGGGCACGTTTGTGATTAAACGATCCGATCTATCCCTGAATTTGTTCCACGTTCGTCGATCTCGAAAGGTTTGGACGTAACAGGTTTCGTTCCTCCTCCGTTGGAGCAAGGAATTTCTCTCGTCTCGATCTTCTTTCTCGTTTTTCGTTTTTTTTTCAAATTAAAGATGATTCCATTTATGAAGCGACGATTATATATTTTATGTTGCGTCGAGTACGTATTTTCTAGCTTGGAAGTTCTGTTGCATTATCCATGATGATATTTTCCAATTATAATACGAATTAATTAAGGGAAGAATCTTTTTGGAACGATGTAAAATATTAGAAATCGAACATATTCATATGTGGTATGATAAATGGATGATTTTTGGATGTATATGTATAAGGATGTTTTTCCTAGAATATAAATATCTTCGACGAGGAATTGAAAGCGAATTTCGGGGATCAGGGTCAGGGATGATTGGGAATTTTCTCACGATCGGACGAAAACGCGTATCTATTTCACCCCGGAAGCATTTATATCGCGACCCTCGCCTATTAATTCAGAGCGGAGCAAACGATATTTCCTTCGGTATGGAATCTTTGGAGGCGCGCCGGTCCCCGAGTCGTCAAGATTCATGGCGCAATTAGGGCCTCGAAATTGCTTCCTTCCGACCGCTGAGAGCGTCGTATCACCGGCTATAAACCGCATAAAAATCTTGCAATTCTGGCAATCTCGCGAGACCGATAAACTTATTACTTATGACTATAAAATTCATTCGTCCTCTTTAAAAAGAAAAAAAAAAAAAGAAAGAAATTACCCTACTTCGAAACTCTACCGCGAAATAAAAATATAGTAACGACGAAATATGTAACAACTTATATGATCCTTTCCAGAAATCTCCTCCGATTAGATCCTCGTATCCTCGATCAATTTTTCGAAAATTGGTAAAAAATTTGAAACTCTATTGCTAAATAGTAAGAAAACGATATGTAACAATATGTATGATCCTTTCCAGAAACTTCATCGATTAGATCCTCGTATCCTCGATCAATTTTCGAAAATTGGAGAGACGACGAAATAATAGAGACTTCGAAACTCTATTGCGAAATAATAAGAAAACGATATATAAAAATATATATGATCTTTTTCAGAGATCTCATCGATTAGATCCTCGTATCCTCGATTAATTTTTCGATGAACGTGAAAATTGGAAAGAAAACGAAATGTCGGTAGAGAGTTCGAAACTCTACTGCAAAATAATAAGAAAACGAAATGTAACAACATATATGATCCTTTTCAGAAACCTCCTCCGATTAGATCCTCGTATTCTCGATCAATTTTCGAAAATTGAACGACGAAATGGTAGAAACTTCGAAACTCTACTGCGAAATAGTAAAGAAACGATATATATGATTTTTTCCAGAGACTTCGTCGATTAGATCCTCGTATCCTCGATCAATTTTTCGAGCGTGGAAATTGGAGAGACGACGAAATGGTAGAGATTTTGAAACTCTACTGCGAAATAATAAGAAAACGATATATAAAAATATATATGATCTTTTCCAGAGATCTCATCGATTAGATCCTCGTATCCTCGATCAATTTTTCGAGCGTGGAAATTGGAGGGACGACAAAATGTCGGTAGAGAGAGAGAGAGAGAGAGAGAAAGAGGGAGGGAGGGAAAAAAGAAAAAAAAGGGGGAGGAAGGAGGAGAACGAGCGGACAGGACGACGAATCGATAGTCGACGGCACGCGACGTAAATAATTTACCGGGAGGCGATTCGAAGGGTGACCAGCGACCCGTGCGCGCGCGATTCGCCGTTTCGATTTCATTGCGGCGATGGGGGAGAAGAGGCGACAGGGAAAAGCGCAAGAGGAGCGTAGCGAAGGCGGGTGGAGGAGGTTGGTTTCGCGGCTCGTTAAAGAATCACGAGGCACGAAACTCGCGTCACGAGAAATATCCGCTCCGCCTCGAATATGGAATACGGGATTGTCGGCGATCGCTTCGTTAACGGGAACCGGATCGATCTTTTTTAACCGGACGAGTTTTCGCGAGATCGCTGCCTCGCCCATTTTCCAATTTCGCGAAAGTCTAAGCGTTCGATTCACGCTTTTTAATCTCGGCCAGAAGAGAATCTCCAATTCTCCGGGAGAACGTGAATTTTTAACGAACGTCGGATGTAGAAAGGTGAACAGAACTATCGAACAGAAATGTGAAAATTCGAAAAATCGAATGAACGCGCGTGAAGGCGAAGAGTGTGAAAAATTTCGATCGTTGCGCTCGATAATGTATCGTTTCTTCTCGATTGGAAAAAATCGTGAACAAATACGCTTACATTTTTAGGAATACGAAAATGGAATCGCAAAGCTCGATGAGAAAATTTTTCCATTAAATTTTATCGGTGCAAATGATTTTAATAATTCAATTCCTTGGGGGACACGTCGACGCGTTATATTTTTCTTCGTATTTTTCGCGGTATTCGATCAATGATGAATATTAATGCGGCCGACTCTTTCCAGACAAATTTGTTCCCTTTGACAATGTTGTTTGCTCGCCTCGGCCCGGTTGATGACGGTGTGAATTTTTCGTAAAAAACATGGAAGCAATTTCCTGCCCTGTCGAACAACCGGAAACATTCTCGTCTCGATAACTCGATCAATTCCCGCCGTGTAGCGCGATCCATTCCGATCCACGGACAAAACCATTTGATCAAACGATTTC